CTGCGGCCGTGCCGCTGGCCCGGCGGCTCTCACAGCAGGCCAGTCACAGCTAAGCTGGGGGGATTTGCGAGGTGCACAGCTGTACGCAGGAGATGTGGATGTAGATCAGGCCGCCTTGTTTACACAGAAATGGCCTTTACACTGCAGCGGAATCAGAGGCCTCTGCCAAAACATCCCACGGAGAGCTAAGCACTAAGTCAGAACAATAACAGCAGCAAGCAACTTCCCATCATTCTTCCAGCATTCCTCATTTTTTCATGAACTTTTTGTTTTGTTTTTGCAGCTAGTGGTGTGCTAGCTGTGTTGCTGATTGTTGTATTTCTGGACCAGATCAAATCTGACCAAGCAGAGACTGAGAAAGAAATACTAGAGACGCCAACCTTTTGGTCTACGTTCCTAGCAACTTTCCAGCACCTTAAAGATAAAAGACAGTGTCTTCTAATCCCTCTGACAATGTACAGTGGGTTTGAACAGGGATTTCTTTCTGGTGACTACACAAAGGTGTGGATGACAATGGAAATCTATTTCTGTCTGATTGGTTCTTGTGCCTGTGTGTCTTACTGTTGCATCTGATCTATACTTACTTGTTAAATGAAGATGTTTTCGGTGGTGATTTGTGGTTTGCTAAATTACTGCTTATTTCTTCTTGAATGAACTTTGAGTGACATCTTCAAACAGGAGAGGCCAGCAGTAAATATGTCCCTTGGAACAGCCTTAGAAAGAACACTGTAGAGAGCTTAACTCACCAGTGGAAGCCACAGCAGAGAGCTACAGGTTCAAACTCTTCAGCTTGTTGTAAATAACAAGCTGGGAGAAAAGCCAGAAGTCTGCAAAGCTTTTATATCTTCCTTCCTTCTGGTTTCCCTAGAGTTTCTGTAAGTGCAAGTCAGCATATTTGCCACATATTTTATTTTGAGAACCTTTACGGTAAGAGGGCAAACCCTCAACATGGATGGCCAAAAGCCCTCCCGGTCACTAGTGCAACAGCTCCAAACCCTGACAGACTGAAATGATCAAAACCACTTCTGCTCCTCCAGCTCCTCTACAAATGTAGACCCACAGCAGGTGTGTTCGCCAGGCATTTCTTGAGAAAGCCTCCAAAGAAAGGGGGCAAACTTCCTGAGCTGCTTATTTGACACTTAAGTTTTCAAACCTTGTATATAAGCAGACGGAAGAGTGCACTTGCTGCTGTGTTTGAATGGATTGAAAGGGGCACTCACTCCATGGCCATCTTCATTGCCGTACACTGTTATGGGTGAGGTCCTCTTCATTTTTTGGGAGCTGCTCTGTAATGACCACAGTGGCTACTGTCATTTTTCATCTCTTGGGCTATGAAGGGAAGGGCAGAAAATTCCTAATGCCACTTCCAGGAGTTTTATTTGCATAGTAAGCAGTGCTCTGGTTTCTTCTCCTGCTTCTTACTGCTCTGTTTGCATGGCATCACTCTGACTGGGAACTGGGTTAGGAATATCGCTGCTGAAGGCCAACTATGTCAATACGCCAGGGACTTGTCAGCAAACTCTGTAGCTGTGCTCCTTTGATCTCATCCATGCTGGCTATTTACCAAATACTCAGGCTAAGACCCTTGAACTGTAGCTGCATATTTTCACTGGAGAAAACGTGTCACCACTGTCTCTTCTCTTCCAGACATATGTGACCTGTGCCCTGGGGATACATTATGTTGGTTATGTGATGATCTGCTTTTCAGCTGTAAATTCCCTCTGCTCTCTGCTCTTTGGAAAGATCTCTCAGTTCACGGGTAGAAAACTTCTATTTGCATTAGGTATGTAAAGACCATTTGAAGGACCGATCACCTCATGTAATATAGCAAATACAGTGCTCCCCCCGTCGTGGTTTAACCCCAGCTGGTAAATCAACACCACCCATCCGCTTGCTCACTCCACCCCAGTGGGATGAGGGTGAGAACTGGAAGAGTAAAAGTGAGAATATTTGTAGATTGAGATAAAGACAATTTAATAGGTAAAGCAAAAGCCACACAAAGCAAACCAAGGAATTCATTCACTGCTTCCGATGGGCAGGCAGGTGCTCAGCCATCCCCAGGAAAGCAAGGCTCCATCACGTGTAATGGTCACTTGGGAAGACAAACGGCATCACTCAAAAGGTCCCCCACCCTTCCTTCTCCTTCCCCCAGCTTTATATCCTGAGCATGACGTCATATGCTCTGGGGTACCCCTTTGGTCAGTTTGGGTCAGCTGTCCCCACTGCGCCCCCTCCCAACTTCTTGTGTCCCCGCCAGCCTAGTTGCTGGTGGGGTGGGGTGGGGTGAGGAGCAGAAAAGGCCTTGACTCTGTGTAAGCCCTGCTCAGCAGTAATGAAAACATCCCTGTGTTATCAGCCCTGTTTTCAGCACAAATCCAAACCATAGCCCCATACCAGCTACTGTGAAGAAAATTAACTCTATCCCAGCCAAAACCAGCACATCCCCTTTGCATGCACTGCAAAGGTAGAGCTCGCTGTCAGCTATCAATTAAAACCAGTCAATCTGGAGGCAAACTTCATTCTTGAGAAGAGAGGCAGCACAGTTAACCACTGTATTGAGGTCATTGCCTTACATCACTTTGCTGCTGGTGTAGTTCACCCTGCTTTTGAGGGCACTGTCTACTCAGAAAGTGCCCTACAGCTTTGATGCTTCACAGCCCTAATGCAACCAGTGATAAATGATCTTACAACACAGATATTGAAGCCTACGCTATACCTGAGAAGGATTCTCCATTGAGGTGAAACCTCCTCACCTTTATGCCGTGAAAGCAATTGTGAACCCTGTGAGATACACTGTTGATTTGAGTCTCAGGGGATGGTGAACTTGGAATTTAAGCAACCAGTTTAGGAATTTCAGGAAAATTTTTAAAGGTTGGCCTGGTATCCTTTTCATTACTTACTCTATAGGGAGAAAAAGAAAAGTATCATAGGCCGGTGTGTCAGGCTAGAATAATTTGAGGGCCTCTGTATGGGTCAGTAATTTTCAGGTTGGCATGAGAAGAGTTTTGTGTATTTAAGAACATCCTCCTCTCCAGAGAACACTGTTCCAATGAGTACCAGAGTAATGGAAGCAGAAAAATACCAAGAAATATTTCATTTGTGTCCCTGTATCCACTAAGGTCTTCATACTGAAGTGGGGGGAATCACTGACTCATTTACACTCTGCTTTTAAAAAGCAAGACGAAAAGTCACCAGACCCTCTAGATATCCTTAACTGTCTCCTCTGGCCCTGAAAGGAAACCTAAGTTTAAGGACTAGGTAAGGAGAGCAGAAGGGTGCTTCCTCCCAACTTCCCACACGCCTCACATGATGACTGCAAGTCTTTCAGCAGCCCCTTCTCCCACTCAGTGGCGGCTCTTGTCCTCGGGGCTAACAGCCGTAGTGGCCCCGAGGATCTCTCAGCTCAGGGCACCGCTCAGCAGTATGAACTGAAGCCTGCCAAAGGACTGCAGTGTCTTGTGATTTCATGTGATACCAACTCAGTCAGCACAAATCTCAATGAACCAGAAAGATGTTAAGATTGCCTTGTGCTCTAGTTGGGGGAAGACATTTGAAGGTGTTATCTGCCACTACCTGTCCTGTTTGTAATAGCATTTATATTTCTCTTCTTTCTATCCAAATCAACAGCCGCAGTTACAAACACCGCCTGTATAATAGCACTCCTGCTCTGGAAACCTCACCCTAAGCAGCTTGCTGTGTTTTTTGTATTCCCTGCTCTTTGGGGCCTATCGGATGCCATTTGGCAGACACAAACTAATGGTAAGTCCTGGTGACAATGAAATGAAGTCTCTTGAGACATAAAAATCTTCATGCTTGTATTTATAAAACAAAGTGTGCATAAAAATGATAATAGGTTTAAGACAGCATCTAAAAGAAATGCGTTAGCTCTTTGGCAAGTAGAAGAAATAAGAACAAGTTGGGAGTAAGTAAACAAATTTTTCCAAGATGAAGAGAGAAGAACACTGTAGAAGATGATAATGGATATTCAGAATAAGTATTCTGGAGCAGTATAAGTATGTGAAAGAAAATTAGAAAACTCAGAAGAACGATACATTTAGTCTGTCTTTTGCAATAAAGGAGACCACTCTGGATAAAAAATCAACTCACAGCTCAGCAACAAAAGAAGCGGCAAGTTGGCTGTTAGGAGTTATTAGAAAAAAAATTGAAGGAGAAAACCACAGAGAGCAACATTATGCAACCAAGTAAATCCATGCAGTTCTGATTTGCTCCATTTCAAAAATCATAATCAAATGTGATAAGGGCATAAGAAGGCAATAAAAAGGAGCAAAGTCATGGGAGACTTCCACTTGAAGGAAGACTAACAAACTAGAGCACTTTAGCCTGGACAAGAGATAAGTAAGGAGAGCAGCCAGTAAGATCATGAATAGTATGGAGAAGGTGATTAGAAACTCACTGTTTCTCTTAATAGAACTAGTGACACCAAATAAAGTTATTGGCAGCAGGCTTTACAGAAATCAAAAGAAATGCTTTTTTTCACATGATGCATAATCAAAGTACGGAATTCATTGCCAAAAATGTAAAGGCTTTTAAGCTGGAATTACATCACTTCAGGGGAAAATGTTCTTGGGGGCTATTAAAGCCTGATGGTCCAGAGGAAATCTCCAACTCAGCAAGTCCCCATGTCTTTGATTGCCAGAGTCAGGAGGGCACCGGGGGGCAAAGATCGCTGTACACTTGCCGCATTTCATACAGTATTATCTGAGTCTGTTACTGTAAGTATACCATTAGACTTCTTATCTGATGCATTACGGTTGGTTTAAAATGTTTTATGTTCAACTGCTTTGTGATACAGTGCAATTATTATGTACTGACAGTTCAGATAATGAGCTGATAGGACAAACCGACTGCTGTAAGGGATTATTTAAACTTATCCCTCAATCAAAACCAGAGGAAGTTCTCTTATAGAGACTGAAGACAGACTCTAAAGTGCTAGAGAAGGCAAGAAAGAGCTACAGTCTGTGATGACTTGAAGTCAAGTCTGCTAGTCACTGTCAGTCACACCCTTTTTAAATCAGTGCCATAGCCTGTGTCAGTAAGACAGTTACACACTCTCCCATCTGCTCCCATATTTTGCCTCTTATTTCATGAATATTGTTTCCCTCTCTCTCAAATTCATTTTTGGCAGATGCCCTAGGAATATGCATGTGACAGAACTAGCTCATCTGGGCCCACATCAGGTCATGTCTTGGCCTCCCTACCTCTGGTCCCTTCGGTTGCTTCAGTAGCTTAGATGACTTCACCCGCTGGTTAAATTATCATGTTCTTCCTTGAGAGCCGAAGGGAAAACACCACAGTCTGGCACTAACAGCGGTCTGCTTTCCAGCATGTGTAGAGCCCCGCCTCTACACACAAGGAAGTGACCAGCCAGACTTCTCTGCCCCTCCAGCAGCTCCAGCTCCTTTAGAAGAGAGCTAGCACATATGTCAAGTGACACCCTCTCATCTTCTCCCATCCCAACCCACAGCCTTGTGCCTTTGGTACAGTTTTAAATCAGTGCTCTCATTATCCAGGTTAATGGAAGGACATCAGCGAGGCTTTGCTCTGAAAGTAAAGCTGTTCATTCATTTCCTGCCTCTTCAGCCACAGCCTTCCTGACTGTTCATTAGGCTCCTTCCCAACACTCCTGAGAACCGTATCTTAGTCTCCCACTGGGATAAAGGACCTGCCCGTTACCCTGCTTCTCTCTTTTCCAGAAAGCTTTGCCCTCAGCCACTTGGCTTCTTTCAGAATCACAGAAGGGTTGAGGCTGGAAGGGACCTGTGGAGGTCAGCTAGTCCAACCCCATTGCTCAAGCAAGACCACCCATAGCCAGTTACCCAGGACCATGTCCAGTCAGCTTTTGAATATCTCCAGGGAGGGAGACTCCACACCCTCCCTGGGCAACCTGTGCCAGTATTCAGTCACCCTCACAGTAAAAAAAGTGTTTCCTGGTGTTCAGAGGGAACCTCCTGTGTTTCAGTTTGTGCCACTTACCCCTTATCCTGTCATTGGACACCACTGAAAAGACACTGGCTCCATCCTCTTCAGGCATTTGTATACATTTGAGATGTCTTTTGAGAAAGGTATCTCCTCAGTTAGGTCCCTGCATGCCTGATGAAGAGACACCCTCATTAGGAAAAGGGTAAGTACAGAGGACCTAAGTGTCAGAGGAGGAAGCTGGGAAGTGGCTGCAGTTCCCATCCACCAGATGAGGCACAGATGGTGGACCAAGTTTTGTGCTTGATGGTGAGTGAGCTCTGCAGTGCTGTGACAAGACTCAGCTCTATTACAGCACTTTAACAGGTCATTTCCATTCCCAGATTCCTGCAGGATACTTGTGAAAACTTCACGTTTGTGTTAGCTGGGAATGTTCCTTATGCTTGCACAGTATCTTTTTTTTGTCTGTACCTTCTTCAGCTGATCCATAGCTCCCAGTTAGTTATAAAATTATACAGAGGTTTTTTTGTCACATTGTCACACTGAAACATTGAGTGATGACATGAAACCTTAATAGAGAGATACAGTGACATTACTGCATAATGCTGCATCCCAGAACAGGGTCTTCAGTTTGACGTGCCCACTTAAGACTAAATCTCTTCTCCCCTTCATCAGTTTATACAGATATACATCACATGAGAAATTCCCAGCGCCAAAGGCTATGAGGTGAAATAAGACCTCTAAAACAGCATTGGGTACTGAGATTGGTGGTCCTTCCTTTGGCAAGCTCCCATGGCTGCTGCTTGGGCCTTAGCAGATTAACCACTGAATAAATACAAGGGCATTGAGCCGCATACTTAAGGCATTTTATGGTAATCTAAGATGGCTTACTTTGGTGTGCTGTGGATAGTTAATACTGGAGTTCCCCCTAGAGGATATATAGGCTCACAGTAGATGAGTCACTTCATCTTATAAAGGATTTCTAACATGTTTGTGTACGTGTGTGGACACTCTCATTTATTTCCAGTGAAAGCTGGTTCATTTCAGAGTGTGTAGTGCCTCTCCTATCTAAACACAGATGCCTTTACTACCCTCCTGGCAATAACTGCACTTGGGGCGTAACAGTTGTGGAGCACGAGCGACTACAGTAAAATAAAGCTCCTCCCAGGCTGATGTGCATCTTTAGAAAGGATACAAATCAGCCTGTAAAGTTTATAAACCTGGACTCAGATGATTTCCGGCAGTCCTGTTATATACCTGTTCCTACCAGTACCAGGGAAGGAGTGGGAAAACGGGCAGTGGTAAACAGGGAGGATAACGTCCCACGAAGTGAGCAGCAAGAATTCAGGGCTAGCAGTCTCTCCACTCAGCCAGCCCAGCAGGTCCTGCTAAACCTTCAGCCAGGCAACTTGCGCCACACTGCACTCAACAGTGTTTGTGATAAGGACAAATGTTTATGTTTGAGGCAAAACCACCATTCTGCTCTTATGTAACTGCTACTTAATACCACATACGCATTCTGGAAATGAGAACTTTCCTGCCAAGTCAGCCCTTCCTATAGCTGAATCGTGGGCTAGATTCCCACTCAGTTCTCCCATTGCTTTGATCAAAAAAGAAGGCTTCATATAGCAAGGGAAAACGGGCACCACCTGAAAGCCAGAACACATCAGAAACCTTCCTATATTAAACTCTTCTCACTAATCCCTTTTCAGAAGATAACACAGGGCATATCAGCAAAGTTACACGAACAACTTGTACTTGTTCATTTATTAGGCAAAACTATGAAGGATTATCAAATAATTCACACTACGCTACACTCAGGCAGTTTGATGAACTAAGTACATCTTGTGATGCACTTGTCCAGGTTTTCCGTCATGTCTAAATTGAATAATTCAGTAAATATCCTCTTATAGTCATCAGGAAGCAGTGAATTTTTACATGCAGACGATGTCTCCCCTTTCTTAACAAAACCGAAGGGTTAGTTGAGCCTACCCAGACTTCTAGAGGGCTTTGTAGTCCTCTGTGCCTTTTGGCTGAATGTGCATATTTCAAGCAGATGCATTGTTAGATACAGAAGTGGATGAGAAGAGTCAAGGTTCACGATATTCCTTCCCTTCCCTCCCTGCACACCACAGCTGAGTCAGTGGAAATGCCTGCTTCTTTATCACCGCTGATGCCAACTCAGCACCCTGGGGAAAGCAAGCTCTCCTGGCTTCCCTGTGTGTCCAACCAGTCCGAACTGAAGGCTGGGGAACCCCCCTGACTCCCAGCGGAGGGTGTGCAGCTGCCTGAACTCAGTGGGAGCTTCCCATGCATTTTATGTGAACGGTCTCTGCATGTTCTTAGGTGGCTGAAAGAAATGGTTTGAACAACAGGTAGACAATGCGTGCAGGGTCCATGCAGGTTCCCCGCAGAAGTGGTGAGGGATGGCAGCAGGGAGGTCCTTGTGGTTCTTTGATCCTTTCTACCCCACACGGAAAGAGCAACTTGGTCCTTAAGGACCATGTCCCTAGACAAAACTACCTGGTCTTTGAAAGCCTATAAGGACTTGGCATAACCTCACCAATAGTTACACGTGGAGATTCTACAGTGTCAATGGCCATTCCTGGCCATCTCCTCTTCCTCCTCACTTGTTGGAGCAAGAACCTGCCCTTTTGTGGCTGATAATTTGAAAAATAAACTTCCTGCCATCTCACTTCAGTAGAACCCATCCTTTCTTCTTTCCTCCCATTTTCTTTCCCTTTTTCTCTGATATGCTCTATTTTGTCATTTTTGCTCTGTTATTTCACTTATAACAATCCATGACTGCAAAAATGTTTTAAGACAAAGCTTGTATTTTCCTTTCTCTGACATTTATGAAGGAGGGTCTATCTTCCCCATTGTGGTTTATTTATTCCCTTTGCAGAAAATACATGGTTTCAGACTTAATCTTCCCAAGCCGTGTCTCTCCTTCCTTCTAGGACTCTATGGCATTTTATTTGAGAAACACAAGGAGGCTGCCTTTGCCAACTACCGTCTCTGGGAATCACTTGGATTTGTCATTGCCTTTGGTTATAGCACCAAACTGCAAGTCTACATCAAACTGTACATTTTATTGTCCGTGCTGGTGTTGTCCATGGTGATGTATGGAGTGGTTGAATACCTCAAAGCTAAGAGCCCCCCTGTGACAAAAACTGAAAATGTAGTACCCTTCACCCAGGAAACACACACGTAATCCAACAACGCCAGAACGATGGAGGCATAGCAAACTGGCCAGCTCCTACAGGCACGTCTCCAAGGGTGTTCCAACACTTACTGTCTCCAGAAAAGGGGTAAAGGAACAGATTTCAACTGATGCCTTAGAAGTAAAAATCTCTTTTGACACCTCAGATTTGTAAGTGAAGATTATCTGACTTCACCCTTTCATACAGATGAAAAACTGTTTTATCTTTTTTTAATTAATAAAGCCTTAATAAATGTAAACAAGACTCTTAAAGTCCTCACATTTTTGTATCTGTGGGTCAGACCTAGTACCATAGCTTTACAATCAAACCTGAAAAGCCCACATGCGAAATCAGAACACGACAGCAACTGGGGTTGCTCAGCTGACTGCAGACAACACACATCATTTCATGGAACCACTAATTATAAAGATTTATATTGTTCTTATCCTGCATTCTTTAACACTTGCTGTAAGTAACACCAAGTTATAAATTGGCTATATCTACGCTTCATACCTGAACACCACAAAACCTGCTAACTGCTGAGCCCACCAGCCTGTCTTAGGTGGGC